TCAACACCAATCCTAGGACTCAGCAAACGCAGCCGCAGTTCGCCCAGCAGCAGTTGACTCAGCAGCAACAGTTTCCTCAGCAGCCGCAGTACGCGCAACATGGACATTCCAACAGTACAGGGCATGCCGGGTTTTATCAGCCTTCAACCCCCGATCAGTATTATTCCGCCGGTGCAACATACAATGTGACTCCTCCCGAACGCTCGATATCCTTGTCGGGTCATGCAACAAACCCACAGGTGGTCCCACCCACTCGATCTCGAACCGACGCGACAGAGGAAAGGCGAAAGCTCCGTCAACAGCAAGGCCTTTCCATTCAACAGAGTGGGCCTCTTCCGGAATACGAATCTACCGATGCAGGCGCTTTTGATACGATCACTTTACCCAGCGGACGTAAGAGGCGTTTTATTCCTGGGAAACTGAGCCCTGGGGATTTCCGCAGGTGCTATGAGCCATGGGCCCTCAGCGGCATTGAAGCTTGGATCCGGGAACTGGCTGACGGAGAAGTGGACCTGAAGATAAAGATAATCGAGGAGGGGTTGGTAGCACTCTTCACTAACAAGGTAGCGACGATGCATATTGCTGATGCCGAGGCATTGAGTGGCCGTGTCGTTGCCGATATGCTCAAATCCGAAGTCCTGGTCCCTGAAGAAGAATGGGTCAAATTCGGCCCTGGCCACATCTCGGGTGTCCTTTGGCAGATGAGCGGAACAGGATGTTATGCTCCGAAGTTGCACGACTACGAGATCACCGGACGATGCTATTCCTACCACTGCAGTCGAACTCTCAAAAAGGTGGACCTTGATGATCTCGGTGCCGAGAGCACCAAGCCTACCGATGAATGGCACGTGTTTTATGGTTTGAAGAAGGAGGATTGGGAGTCGAAGCCCAAGAAAGAGGTTGATCGTCAGAACATTCTTCACGAAATCGTTACTGGAGAAGAGAATTACATCAAACAGCTTGATCTTTTCCGAACCCTGTATCGAGACGACCTCCGTGCTCGAAAGCCACCCATTCTGCATCCAGAACGCCAGGATAAGTTCCTGAGCGCGGTTTTCGGTAAGCTTGATACGGTCGTGCGTATCAATAAAGACCACCTTCTCTCCCAGCTCAAATATCGCCAGCAGGAGCAGGGTCCTTGGATTGTGGGTTTCAGTGACTTGTTCAGAGAGTGGATTCGCAAGGCCAAATCGGAATATATTGCATATGCTACTGCATACCCCCATGCCCAGTACATGGTGCGCAAGGAGGCTGATAGGAACGTTCTCTTCAAACGCTTCCTAGAAGAAAAACAAAAGCACAAGTCTTCGCTGAAACAGGACTGGACGCATTTCTTGATTACACCCTTGCAGCGGTTGCAGCGCTACATCCTCTTGCTGGAGAGTACCGATGGCAAGATGCTTGTGGAGAGCGAAGAGAAGACCAATCTTCAAAAGGCCATTCGGGAGATCAAGACCGTCACTTTGGAGTGTGACGCTAAGGTAGAGGAGACGAACAAGAGAGTCGAGATGATTGAACTAGGTCGTATCCTTGTTCTGCGCCCGGGTCTGCACTCGATCCTGAACCTTGATCACATGGGACGACAGCTCCTCATGCAGGGTGAATTGACAAGGTTAGGATCCAGGGCTCTAAAATGGGTCGATACTCAGGCTTTGCTCTTTGACCACTTCATGATCTTGGCCAAGGCTGTCTACTCGCGAGATGGCAAGGAGAAAAAATACGATGTATCAAAAGAGGTATGTACTATTTCTAATGGACGATGCCGAACCATGCTAACGCACGCAGCCTATCCATATGCGCCTCCTCTTCCTCGAGAGCATGAACGACGAGCCTGTCCAACGCCAAAAGGGTATCTCTCCTCTGACACGTGCTGCTGCTGCCCAGCCGGCAGCCAACGGCACCGGACGCCCCGTACTTGAACACACGCCCACTGGCGGAACCCTAGCCTCAAACGGATCGGGTGATGGCGAAGGCAAAATCCTTTATCCTTTCAGAGTCAAGCATCTGGGTCACGAGATCTACACTCTATATGCGTCATCTGCTCGCGACCGGATGGAGTGGTGTAACAAGATTATTGAAGCGAAAACCAACTACGCCAAGGCTCTATTCTCACAAAATGCAGAACCATTCCATCTCCGAGTCCTTGCTGATGCCGCGTTCCACTACGAGAGTACATCGACATTTGCAAAAACGACCGCTGTTAATGTAAAGGGGACACCTCTTGACAAGGCAATTGAGGATCTCGAGGGTGTGCTTGGTTCTGCTCAAGGCATCGCACCTGTCTGCCGTGCACAAGTCAACTGCGCCACTGGCTTTTCAGCCTTCGGGAAGTCGGTGATCGCAATCGGAACCGACTATGGTGTCTTTATCTCGACACCATCAAACCCTCGTGGATGGACTAGGGTAAGTGCTGCATCCTGGTGACGATTTATGCCTCTCTTCTTGCTAACTTGTTATTCTCAGACTATCCAGGTCTCCAGAGTCAGCCAAATAGCGGTTCTCGAAGAATTCTCTGTCTGTCTGGTCATTGCAGACAGGTCTCTGATCTCATACCCACTGGATGTGGTGGCTCCGGTGTCCGATTTCGCTGCTCCGGTGAACGACAACAGCCGTCGTGCTCCTCAGCGCTTGGCAAAGGATGTCACATACTTTGCGACAGCTCGGATGAAGGATCGCATGCTTGTCTTCTACAAGCGTAAGGAAGGTCTTCACACAACCTTCAAAGTAGTGGAGCCCATATTCCACAAGGCCAACGAGAAGCGACGTCTGTTTGGACGGTCCAAGACCACCAGCGGCAGCACGGAAAGCTTCCGTGATTTCGACGAGTTCTTCTTCCCCACTGAGTGTTACTCCCTGAGTCTATTCCAGACCTATGTTGCTGTTTCAACCTCGAAGGGAATTGAGATGCTCACGCTGGATAAAAAGCAGCCGATGTCTATCCCCGATCTGAAGGCCCCAGCGATCGCAAACATTGCTAGCCGCATCCAGGGTCAGAAGCCCATGGGGATGTTTAGGCTCAATGAGAACGAGTTCATTCTCACCTACGAGGACTGCGCTGTCTACGTCGACAAGCATGGTGAAGTCAGCAGGACGCTGATTATGGAGTACAGTGGCCGCCAGAAGAAGGCCAAAGGTGCCACCATGTACGGCCAGTACTTGATACTCTTCAATGACGATTACGTTGAGGTCCGCAATGCGGAGAATGGACGCCTGCGGCAAATAATTGCTGGACGGGATGTTCGTGTCCTTGATTATGGCATCCGTGGCCCCACGGGCACAAATGCCACACAGGCACAGCAGACCCAGGGACGCAACGGAGCTTTGCCCAATGTTGATGATGTCTCCAAGGGTACCGTGAAGATTGCTATGGCCCATCCCGAGATTCCAGGCAGGCAAATTGTCTTAGAATTGCTGTTGAATGATGGTCACAAGGAGGGATAAAGACTCTCTCGCCTGACTCGCTTGACATTCACACTCTGGCAAGCTGGGACGATTACGAGCGAAGACGACCCTTTTCAAGATACCCATAAGAGGAGAGACGATGTATATTGGATTGTGACTTCTACGAAGAGATGCATTTCGTTGTTTTATCATTCCACCCAAAGGGAGGTGGCGGTAACACGCTCAATCTTGTTTTATCTTTCTGCTTTTTAGCTCGCATCTTTTTTCTCGCGGGCCCGTCATTTTGAGCCCCTTTTCCCACCTTCTTTTTTTCCATTATATAGGTATATATTTTCATCTCTAGTGTCTGACGGTATGATACCCCATCCGAAGAATCTTTGGATCTAGGGAATGGGTTCGTATGGTATGAAGCGGGTTCTTTTTTTGGGTTGAGACGATAGGATGGCCTGGATATCTATAATGAATGATTTCAAAGATTCGAAATAGTTTGTCCACTCAATGACCGGGATGTTGACGAACGTCACGGTTTATGTATGTTGTGATGTCATGCCAACAGCACAAAAGACAAAGTTAGCTCACCTCGTTTACCGAGCAAGATACTTTTCCAAGATGCCAGCGGCTAAAGTGAGCCATAGCAAAACACGTACGAGAACCAAACTTCACACATAGCAAACCTTATTTTAGTAGACAAACGAGACGAAACATAATTGGCCCCTTCATTAGGTGGTTGTCATAACATCGTTGAGAAGCAGGAAACAACAAAAGAGCTACGTTGCAGGTGTCCCTCTACAGCTACGATGGGATACCGCTGTCGATGACCTAAATCAGCCATTCGTCTTGCCACGCCATCTCAAAAGTGCTGATGGCGGCTGGGCAAAACATTTAAGTGCAAGGGATCTAGAGACTTTGTATCGGTTAGCATCCTGTGCCATCTTGATATCATATGAAGCAATCGAGAAAAGCCGAGACAAAAAGAATATTTTCAGAATATGTAAGAAATAGATGTCATCTATCTACCTGGTTTAGCGACTCCGGCGAGAGTGCCACCAGGTAGAATCAAACGCAAATTACCTCATCAGATGATGCGGCGCAAGTGAAGAAAATTATGAGAAGATAATGCTTACCATTGACGCTTTGGAAATATTGTACTCTGAGCCCTTATGAGCAAAGGCAGGGCAGCTGCCGGCAGAAAAAATGTTTGATAGAGGTGAAGGAAACTTAGCAGCAGGAAAGGGATCCGAAACTTTTAAAGGGAGTCCAATCAGGAGACCCACTTCAGCTATCGCGAGGCGCCCGTGCGCGACAACATGGAGAGTTGTCTCGGAGCCCGGCAGAACAAAGGTCCGGGAATTTTAGTTAGGGCAATGGATTTTCAGCCCGCACACCTTGATAGCCGAGTCCATCAAAAAAGTCATTGGTAAATCTAGACGTGTGAAGATCCAGCAAACATCCACTCCCGAACGGTAGACATTCTCGACTGGTACGACTGCACCCTGCTCTCTTCTCTCCTGAATCAATCTCCTGATCCGATTGATCCTCATCACTCGTTTGAAAACGAAATCCGACTAACGCGCCAGTTCTTCTAGACCACCGTCAAAATGGGCGAAGCAGTGATTGAGGGTTCCAACTGGCGCCTCGTAGAGGTTGGCCGTGTCATTGTCGTTAACGGCGACCACCCCTACGCCGGCAGACTTGCCGCTGTTGTCGAGATCATCGACCACAAGCGAGTACGTTCCACCTGGAGATGTTGCAAGAATCCGCCGGGCCCAGGGAAATACTAACGAGCATTTTACAGGTTCTCGCTGAGGGACCTTCCGCAGACCCCGAGCTGGCCGTCCCCCGACAGGTCATCCCCCTCTCCCGCGCTCTACTCTCCCCTCTCGTCGTCGAGGGTCTCAACCGCGGCGCCCGCCAGTCCTCATTGAAGAAGCAGTGGGAGAAGTCCGAGATCGACACCAAGTGGAAGGAGTCGAACTGGGCCAAGAAGCGTGATCAGATCGAGCGAAGGAAGGGCCTTACGGACTTTGAGCGATTCAAGGTCCTCCGTCTCAAGAAGCAGCGACGTTTCGAGGAGCGCAAGGCTCTCGCCAAGGTCAAGGCATCCGCATAAATTGGTTGATTGCAATGGAGTCAAAAGGGGCAGCTGGGAAGCATTAGACTTGGAGGAACGGGTTCGGGCTGGCGAGAGCATATCGGCGCTGTATATGCATGCAAGCCGGCGGCGACCTAACCTCTTGTCTTTCAGGAGGGCTGTATGTCACATCTCATCTTGAGGATGAACGGCGTCAATACGGAAATTCAGAAACCGAATGAATTTGAGGCTTAAAGTTAATTTTTCTCAAACATTTAAAAGTGAACCAGTAGCAAATGATGAAACCATGCAAATTCCCATTCCAATCCAACGTCGAACCCGCGTGCTTGAGCCTCGCCGTAGAATGCCTGCCACATCCCACGTATTTCCTGCGCTGCAAAAATGCGGGCAGCCCCGCCTCACATGGGTGCGGTTCTGATTACCTAATCTAGCCCAACCCACGCCAATTCACCAAACCCTAGAATTTCGCATTCGAGAGTTTTGCATCACAAATCGACGACGACAAGCTACATCAGGTCCAATTCCAGCCATTCCGGGCTCAACGAAACACTGTAAGCGCTCATTCACCCGAGAACCTTTTTCGCCCCGTCGACACGAACCGAACCGTGGTGATTGTGACTTGGCGGGGTGAAAATTCATCGCCGAATTATGTGCAGCAGCTAACGTGGAGCTTCTTTGGGTTTCCCGCAGACAACAGACAAGATGGCCAACCCCCGAGTTGAAGAGCTCCCCGACGAGGAGCCCCAGAAGACCGTCGTCGAGGACCACGAGGACGACAGCAGCGATGAGTCTGAGGCTGAGACCGGTGCGCCCTCTGGCACCGCTGCCGTGGTCCACTCCCGCAACGAGAAGAAGGCCCGCAAGGCTCTCGAGAAGCTGCATCTGACCAGAATCCCTGGCATCACCCGCGTCACCCTCCGCCGCCCCAAGAACGTATGTGCAGACCGTTTCTGGAGGGGCCTTGTGAAGCCCGAGCTATGAGGGGTTGAGCGCACACTAACTCTCTGCAGATGCTCTTCGTCATCAACACCCCCGAGGTCTACAAGTCTCCCAACAGCAACACCTACATGTGAGCCCCTCCCCCCGCACATGACGTACATCCGCGGGAGTTGCATTATACTGATACAGCATCACAGTGTTTTTGGTGAGGCCAAGATCGAGGATATCAACGCCACCGCCCAGCAGGCTGCCGCTGCCCAGCTCGCCGCCGCCAACGCTGAGGACCACTCCGGCCACAGCCACGCCGAGCCCAGCAAGGCCGGCGAGTCATCCGATGCCAAGAAGGACGAGGAGGAGGAGGAGGAGGATGATGACGAGGAGGTCGACGCCGAGGGCATCGAGGACAAGGACATTGAGCTGGTCATGACCCAGGCCAACGTCAGCCGCAACAAGGCCGTCAAGGCCCTGAAGGAGAACGACAACGATATTGTCAATTCAATCATGGCACTGAGTATCTAAGAACACTCCCCCCCGGCATATAGCTTTTTGACACCTTGTCTTGGAATCCACCAGAACCGCCGCGAGCATGAACAGCAAATGTCTGGCTCTGTACTAGTACTGGAGATTTACCCGGCTTCTAAAATATAAGAATTGGGCCCAAAAAAAAGGGACAAACAGTGCATTCTGGTTTTCAATTCAGCTATCTAGTGATTTAATGAATGTCGTGAAACAGTGACAGGTCTACCACGGGAACAGAGCGTTGCGCAATGGTATAGGAACCATTTGCCGGCGTAAGTTGTGTGCAGGTTATATCATATTTGCCGGCGGGGAGCAGAAGCCCCTCATTCAATCCATGCTCAATTGCTACAGATGCTGCCAAGAGATGAACTGAAGTCGAAAATCTCTCGCAGAATCCATTGAGATTGAATATTTCCCGAGGAAGATAACTTTATTCATTTTAGTATTTAATTGACAACCCAATCTGCTATTCCTTCCAAGCTTTCCCCCGCACCAGCAGGGCTCTAGAAACGGCTTCTGGGCGTTCGGAACCTTGAGGGAGATTGTCGTCACGTGACACGCGAACCGGCATCAATCATCGGACCCATTCGGCAAAGTCAACGTGCTCCCGTCAAGACCACGATCCTCCTTCCCTCCCATCACCAAAACAACCGACACAATGGCCGCAGTAAGTCCCCCGATAGCCTCAGAAGAGCCCGCCGCAACTCCAATCCCAACGTCCCGCAAGACCGCCCCCGATTGAATCCGTCCCCAATTGCCCGCGACAGCGATGAGCTAATTTTTCTACTCCCTGCCAAACAGCGAAGCGCTGCTCTCAAGCTCGACTGGACCAAGGTCACCAGCTCGCTGGGCCTCCGCGGCCAGACCGTCGCCTCCCTCCAGGCCTTCAAGAAGCGCAACGAGGATGCCCGCCGCAAGATCCAGCTGCTCTCCGAGCAGCCCACCACCGTCGACTTCGCCGCCTACCGCTCCTCGCTCAAGAACCAGGCCATCGTCGACGAGATCGAGAAGCGCTTCGGCGAGTTCAAGCCGTCCACCTACGACGTGAGCCGCCAGCTCAAGGCCATCGACGCCTTCGAGGTCGAGGCCGTCAAGAACGCCGAGGCCACCAAGCAGGCCGTCGACCTCGAGCTCAAGGACCTCGCCGCCACCCTCAAGAACATCGAGACCGCCCGGCCGTTCGAGGACCTCACTGTTGTATGTTTCTACCCCGGGAGGAGGATGAGTTTTCGCCGCCGCCGTGACGGGGAGGTGCTGATGATGCGTTATTATAGGATGACGTCGCCGCCGCCGAGAAGTCGATTGATGAGAAGACCAGCGAGCTCGTTTCCAAGGGTCGCTGGATGGTGCCCGGATACAAGGTATGTGCAGCCGGATACGACCCACGCGGCTCTGAATCGTCTAACACCCAGTACAGGAGAAGTTTGGCGACCTCGCCGTTGTCTAAGGGGCTCGTGTCTTTCGCTACTTCATACGGACAAGTCTCCTTTGTGTACTCTAGCCTTGTAGATACGAAAATTCGTGACGGTGGAATTATTAGTCTACCGATACCCTGTGGTCAACATTCTTTGGTTCCAAGGCTCGCGCAGTGAATACGTTTCATGAAAATCAATCAGTGATGTTAAAGCATGTGTTGATTCCAAGCTCTGACTGAGTCTACCGTGACAGCACCGCAGAGTCGAAGCTCCAGCTCTAGCTTGTCTAAGGACATAACTCCCATGTTTCTATGCTCACAGCACCGACAAACAAACCGACGACAAAAGGGGGCCTCCGAAGCAGTGGCCGGTGTCAAGCATTTGCCGTCTATTCTAGTTCGACGCCCAAGCGCGGCCATCCCACTCTACCGCGTGGCTTCTCCTCCTCGACCCCGGTTTGTTTTCTCTGCTTTATCGCATACCAATAGCTGAACCAGTCGTAAACCCTTTTCCCCCCAACTCCACCTTCATAAGAAATCATGCCTCGTGAGTCAAAAAAAAAAAAGTATGGCTCGTGGTCTGGTATCTCGCTACATGGCTCCCTTCAATCTCATGCAACCCGCTGCTTGCACCTTCGTCCTTTATTGAGGGACGGCGTACTTCTGCGTCCACTCCCTAGCGGTGGCAATGGCGGCTTGCTCATCCTGTTTCCAGCTCTTGGCGACGTCGGCGGCGAGGGGGTCGTCGGGGTTGGGGGCGCCCAGGAGGGCCTGGATGGACAGCAAGATGGTCCGGATCTGGAGCGCGGGGGACCAGTTGTCTATATCAAAAAACAAACGTGAGCGGTTTTGCGAACCCAGAGCGTGCGTGGGGCCTCGACATGTTACGTACTCTTAAGCACATCGAGGCAGATGCGGCCCAGCTTGTCGACATTGGGGTGGAAGATCTTGGTTAGGAAACGGATCTTGGGAGGGGTCATGGGGTAGTCCTCCGGGAGGAACAACTCCAGCTTGAAAACACCGCCTGCGAAGTTCCCATTTGGTTAGCGGCCAGGTTCAGAGTCAAGAGAGGGAAACCTCGGAAAGCGGGCGGGCGGTCGATCGACATCCAGCCTGATATGGTGGTTTCAAGTACCTTCGTATGGAGACTGGCTGGGGCCATGGATTTCGACGTCAAAGTACCGCAGGTTGTCGTCGTGTGGTACGGCGCTGATTCCGGGAACCCTGGCAGCAGAGGCTGTGTCAACATGATGGGCGGGACATTGCGCCTATTGCGAGAATATGCTTACGGTTCGGCCATCAACCGTTCCGTCTCTTTGATGATACGCTTGGGGAGGGCGGCCTGGGCCATCTTGGAATGCGGTATCGGATTTTCTTTGGTTTACTAGAGCGGCGTTTCTTCGATGATGAGCTGGTGAGTTGCTGGTTCGAGGTCCAGTTCGCGCGCACGGATCGAGTTTTTATTAATCAGACTGCTGCTTGAGGCTTTCCGGTCGAGGCGGGGCGGCCTTTTTACCCAGCAAGTGCAAATGCTCCGGGTCAGGGCTCAGGATGGCGGGGCAGGTCTTGAGAGGCGGCTGGTGGAAGGAGTCTTCTTACGAGCGGTTGCGAGGTGCAGGTCTGTATACGAAGCGATCGGAAAAGAAAGGCCAGAGCGGAAGAAGTCGAAGGGCAATAGCAAGGAAGCTCCCTCCAGATGAATGATGAGATAGTCAGTGCATGGATCAGGAGCGGGATGGCTCCACATCTTCTTAATAGACATGTGAGTGATGTAGCGTGGAATCTGTACGCTGGTACATGGTGGTACATGACAGCACTAGCGTTTCCGGCTTGGTGGTCGGTACCTCAAGGTAGCTTGGCGGCGTGCCAGCTCATTGAGGCTCGCCCAACGCCCATTACCTGGGTTGATTACCCTGTATCAGTCCATGTCTTCGTTTACAAAATGCAAGGCCTCACTCACATATTTGGGGTTTATCGTAATTTACTAAATCTTGAGAATTGAAAAAAACCTTTATCAGTAATGTTGAAGTATTTTATACTTTTGATTAATTCGTTCATATCACGTTGCGCATCCATCAGTGATCCATACCCGATGATGTGATGTTCAGTGAAAATCAGATAAGGTTGCATCAAGACACAAAGAACGTGACTGATTTCCATCGTGGCCGGTGTCATTTATTACTCCAAAGGTCGGATCGAAGTATAAGTCAGAGACGAAATTAATAAGTTTGAGCTGTACAATCGAAGATTTAATCACACATGTAATTAATTACACTAAGCTAGCTTGCCAATATTCTCCAATTACATACAACATATACATTAGCCCTCTTGCCTTTTATTTCTCCTTAAACTGGATGCGCGAGACCAGGAGCCCGTCGATTTCTTCAGCCTCCCCAGGCCCAGGCTGGCTGCAGAAGGCATCAGTCCGCCGACATCACCTGCAAAACTAACATCAGGCGGGGCACTGCCTTGTCTGCCTCGCACCTCGCCGCCCCTATCTTCGTCCGGAACAACCACAGGCGGAATCACCTGTACTTGCGATTGCGTCTTGAGCATTGCTGCCTGAAGGGCAGCCCAGGACTCAACCTGCCCGTTGGATGCTTCCTCTACGCAGTTGCACTCATCACCGGCTGGGCAAACAGTTTCGCCTGCTGCGTGCCACTCTGCAAGACAGTGCTCGTGACTGGCACAGCCGCATGAGAGACACGGGGGAAACAGGGCGTCAACAGGCTCTAGGCAATAGACGCACCTCAGCTGGCTTTGAGTGCTCCGACAACGGTCACAAGTGCCCACTGCGCCCCCTGTGTGAAGATTCGAGGATGAGTATCGCAATGGTTCCAGCTGAGTCTCATGCAGGCGGCACATTCCGGTGATATCGAGCCCACGGTTGGAAGCCACGAGTGCCTGAAGGTGGTCTCTTTTCCCCATAACAATTGGTGACGACCCTGTCCGTGGATGCCCAAGACTGCTTCCTTCGGGTATGTTGAAGGAATCGGGAAAGTGATGTTCTCTGTTGGGTGAAATGCCGACATCCTTCATATTATTGAATTTCATAATCTCTAGTCTGGCCAGTGGCTCGTTCCACATCTGTAGCATCTCCGCATATGCATGGCGATAATTCGCGTACAGGTTGGCTCGACTTGGTTCGAGGAGCGGCGTACTAAGCCACCCATCATCATCGAAGATTGTTTGATTCTCCACAAAGACTGCGACGCTTACTGGAACATGAACAAGGGATAAAGTGTCTTCTGTGTGGTATTCGTCATCTGATAGCGATGCCCTATAGACGCTTGAATCACCAGCCAATGCCGAGGTTGCCCACGCATTGCTCATGCCTGGCGCCAGGGTGTTGAGTATCGCCTCAGCTGGGCTGAGCTTCTTCTTGCTTTGATTCGGCGGCGATGGCGTGTTGTCCCCAGTCAGCATTTTGGGAACAGTTGTTGCCGTGAACGAGGAGGCTAAGCTCGTATTTGCTCTGGTCCCGGACCGACTGTTGGTCCTTGAAAGATACAAAGGTAACTCTAAATCTGCTAGTCTGCTCTGGCTTGGAGGGGTATCCCCATAAGAATAAGAGTTTGGCACGAGCTCCTCGCCCCAGACTGCTTCTTCTGATACATGAGATCTTGCGTAGCCGGGCGTCTGGGGAGTGCGGGGGGTGTTAGCTGCTGACCCCTTCTCGTTTCTGCTGCTTAAATTCCAGGCTGCTGCATCAGTAGGAAAATATTCCAGGGAGAAAGACGGTGTTTTCAGAGCCAGTGGAGTTTCTGGTTGTGGTAGTTGGGATTCCACGTAAGCAACGCACTCATCAGCAGAAGAATCGCTGAAAATGCACGATAGCATGGCCAACATCTGGATATCGGCTATCTTCTCAAAGTAATAAAAAAGGTCCGCGATAAAGTCTCTGGCCAGTGGATGATGCCCCCATTTTACACGGCCCGAGAGGTGTGAGGAGTTTGCGTAAGATTTATCTTCTAAGTGTACCCAGTTCGATGTTTTGTCGCTTTGGGAAACAATGTCGTGGGCAATCACGAGGATTGAGTTTTCCTTGTTGTTTTTTTGGGTGAGAACTTCCAATGGGATGCCCGTTCTTAAGAGGAGAGCAAGGTAACGCCAGATATCAGCGATATCCGTGTGGCCGTGCTTGTCTGCGAGGACAGCGTTGTGGCTACAGACATCAGCCCCGTCTCCGAATATGGCATAGCCCTGGGCAAACTCCTTCTTCGACGGCAAGATGGAGGAAACATCGTGCAAGGAGACCACATTGCGAGGCCGACCGATGCGCCGGCGACTGTTCACTGTGCCGGTTGCTGTACCAATGCCAGTCCCAGTCCCACCTCCGCTTGAACGAATGGAGCGGTTTTCACTCCAAGTTTTCCTCAGCACGCGTCGCGGGTGATACCATAGACTCAATTTGTGCATGGAAGTGGATCCTGAATCACTCGATGAAGAGGACTCGTCCGAGTCCTCCGTATCTGAATGATCATCCGCAGCTGAAGTTTCATCCCCGTTATACCTCTGCCTCGGAGCGGCATCGAAGGTAAGGCGACCAAAACCAGCAAATGGCTCACCCTTAGGTCGCTCCTTGCTGACCTCTGTCGTGTTCGAAAATAGGACTCTCGCCTTCTCCTCCTTAGTAGGGAAGAAGCAAACAAGTCGACAATCGTTAGAAAACCTTGCACCGCATGTCCTCGGTGGTGGTGGAATGATTGAGCGATTGATTGGGGTGAAAGAATTCTCGATCTCGGTCGGCGGTACAAGCTCCTGGGACATAGATGCAGACCCGCCGGTTGGAATATCCGCTTCCTCTTCTTCGCTGCTCGAGCTTTCGTCTCCCAAACCTGTTATATCGTCATCAAAGTCGACATTTTTGAAAAATGTGCTCGACTCCAAATCCGCTTCACCCAAAAGGTAGGTGAAGGCCTTTTCTAAACAGTTCTTCTTTCGAAGTAAGAACCGGTGGGCCAGTTCGTGGATTTCTTTGGTAAGCCGTGCGTGTGTTTCCTCGGGAAGGAATGAAGTCTTTTCGATGAGGAAGCTGGGGGCGCTCGAGGTTGGATAGTCTTCAGGAATATCAATTTTAACCTTAATAAAGATGGTATCCCCACTCTCACCCCAAGGCCCATTCAGTGAGGCGTTGAGAGTTAGTGTGTCCATGTCGATGTTTTCCCATCTTATCTTAGGGATCTGTGTACTGATACGTAGCAGTTCGTCTTGCACCGTGTCAGGTTCACCCCAGTCGTCATCGGGATATCCGTGACCAAAGATGCTGGAGTCCTTGGACATCTGCCTCTTAGGCATGTTGGTTGTTTCCTTTCTCCGGGTGATCGTGATGCCTTTCAACCAGCTGATTTGTGATTGCGTGTTGTCCCGCTCACCCTTGACGGTGGCCTTCATTGAGGGGCCACGCCAGCTAGATTTCGAATGCTGGCCTTGAGGCCCGGATCGCATGCTCATTGTCAACGCGCTCTGGTGCTGCAGCGCAAAGGCTGCCCGTGGGTCGCTCATCGTGCCGGTTCTTCTATCTCTAGCAGAATCATCATCCACGTTGCGGAAAGTTTTATATGCCGCACCTTTGCGGGTGAGGGTTATAGCCTTTGGAGCTCGCCCCCCTTTGACATAGCCGACATCCGAGAGAACTTCTGGATCGAGGCACTGAAGTCTGAGTTCATTATCAGTTCCCCAGGAGACAAGCTGGAATTCACGATCGTCGGTTCTATCTTCCGAAATACCACCACGAGTCCTCCACAGGAACTCTTTGGCTTTTTGAGGGGCGTGTCCGGGAAATATATGCACAGGTTTTGTAACCTCTCCTGTTGGGGTCTCGTCGAGTCTTTTCCGATCATACAAGTACAGGTCACCAGGTTCGTTCTGAGGCATGGCAAGCATTCCCCATCCAAACGGAGTATGCCGAGCCCTCCAGACTGGGAACTCAGTGTGAATAACATGATCGGGCTCGTTCACTTCTTTGGAGTAGTCCCAGAACTTGATCGTTTTGTCCAGAGAGCAGGTTGACAGAGCCGTCGGCTTCACCCGATTCCAGTCCAAGCCGTAGATTTTGGTCTTGTGCGCGTTGATGGACTTCAACGGCTCGGACGCTCGACGGTCATCCCATACGTGAAGCCATCGATCGTGAGAGGAGGCTATCACGTGGGGATCTTGGCGACTGTACTTGACTTGGGTAGCCCCGGCAAACCAATCACAGTACGTGAGGACGGGTTGCCTGGGTCGACGCAGATCCCAGGAATGAACAGATCCGTCCACAGAGCAAGTGGACAGAAGATCTGGGTGGTGAGCAGAGAAGTTGATATCAGTGATGGCTCTGGTGTGGCCCTGGAGAGAGTGCTCAATGGCGCCATTGGTGGAGTCTTCCCTTTGATTCAGGTTCCACACGAGGGCACAATGGTTGGCAGTAGATACGATCCAGTAATCTCTTGCTGCAAATGGGGACCATTGCACATCAGTCACCAACCATGGGAGCCCATAACTGCGCAGCCTCCGCGGCGGATTGTAAGGTGAGTCCAGGTCGATGATGGCGAGGCCATCAGGAGATGCAAGGGCTATGTCGCGCCCAGACGGCGAGATGGTGGCGGACCCAACCAATCCATCGACATGGATCGTGATGTCCGACTCAAAGCTTTCACTGTCATACGCAGATCTGATTACCTTTCCTTTCTTAGAAGGCTCAGCAAACCGATCGAGGGAGGGCATGATGACGCCCTATGTACTGCTTGTCACATTGAAGGCAGGTGATTTCATCAGATGGAGGCGGTAGGATGTTATGAAGACCGGCCCGGAATCATCAAGCCCAGCAAATGGAGCGATTGTGCCGCGACAAGCTTACGGGCTGTGCTACGGGCAACAAGAAGACCCTTGGAAGAAGATGTGACTTGCTCGTATGTCGTTGGTCTGGACTAGACCCAATCCCATGGAGTTGAGAATGGCATCACCCTTGCTGACTAAGCACCCGTCAACCACCATATCCAGAGATAATAGCGGCAGTCGCTAACAGTGAAGAAACTCGGCCCTATCAACATCTGTGATGCTAAAACTTGGAAATATGCGCAACACTTAGTTCATTGGAATTTTCTGTCGCCTCGAGGCCTCAGACACTTCTATTCCCAAGAATGACCCTTGAGACGTATATGGGCTGATTGACACCTACCGTCCCCAAGTACCTTCCTGAGCGGGTCCTGCTTTTATCAGTGAAGCTTCTCCACGAAACACACCTAACCCACCAGAAAGCAACGATGTCATCTTTAAATTTACCCAGCTACAGGGTTGAAAGTCTCAGGAAAGGTAGGCAGAAATTCAGAAATGAAGCCAATGACCTATGATCCTGCATCGACAATTAGTGGACACGATTCGCCTGTGTCCAGTTGCATGGAACATTGGGAGGCTCCAGTGCCCAAAGCCCTTAATTCCTACCCATCGAAGAAAAGATTTACTGCCTGCATTGACAATGACGGACGACTTTGATCCTGAGGGATCGCGAGCAATGCAACTTCAGTGAAAATCCGACTCTCCCCATTCCTCGGGTGGAATCGTACGGCGTTACACCATGCCCGGGTTGACAGGAGGGGAGGATCACTGGACATACGCGAATGCTACCTCAACGATCGCTAAAAAGTCTGCATCCAGAGATGGGGAGGGCCCTGGGTTCTGACCCCGGACGCTGAGAGCGACGAAAGAGGATGAATGGAGTCAACCACCGGCACTTGGAAGGGGAAAGGGAAGCAAAAGTCCATTCCATGGTGACTCTTCCGATGCCTCTCCCCAAGACTTATTAAGTTGCATTAATAAGTCGATCTGCCCCGATCTGGAGCCAGGCACGGCACCTGCCGGTCGCCTGGAGAGCCTGGGAAACGTGGACAACGTGGATAACCGCATCCCCGTCTGCTGTGGGACAGGTCAGGCAGCCCTATTGCAACCGACCTGTATGAAGAATTATTCTTGTGCTACATACTCGCATCTCATGCCAGCCCCTTTCCGGCTCGACTCGACTTGAGCCCAGAGGTGTGCCTGACTCCCGCCAGCCACTGCCAGGGCTGTATGTTTTCTATTTTCCGTCACTTCGTATTATCTAATGCCGTGGCTGGCTGACAAGTGAGGGCGATGCAGACGACGGCAACGCCTTGCGCTGGGCCCACAGATTCGAGACCACTAACAGACTCGCACCAGCATCCACCACTGTTTCATCCGCCCATTCCATGTCGTGCCCGCCGACTGGGCATGGAGTTCGTCGGTTGCTTGGATCGTGGGCCGGGCAGAGCATCCAAACTATCTGCAGGCTGCCACATTAGGGAATTCGGAGATGCCCAGTCACAGGCGCCAATTCCAGTCTTGCAACTAGGGCTTGCGGTCTGGCTGCTCACGTCTGGCTAGGCCACTTATGCGACCCATGTTACAGAGAACATGGCCCAGGTCGAAATCATGGCCGCCCGGGGCCACCACGACTGTGCTGTGGGTGAGATTCAGCTTGGGGGTGGTGCCACCCTTGGGCGGCGATCGCCTGCCAGTCGACCATTTGAGAAGTTCAGTTAAAACTGTGCCGCAGCCCTCTTTTGTTCCTCCTCAGCTGAACCTGCCTTTAACTACTCTCATGCCCAACTTCCACCGAGGGAGGGGGACGGTTTTACCTTGGCAACAAATCGACAGCACAACTCCAGCCAACAAAGACCATGGCTACCATGTCATCATCGGGCCGCGCCTCAGTGGGCAGCTCGTCCACACACTCATCAAAACCCTCCTCGAGTTCCTCCAAGTCCTTCACGCCTGATTGCATCGCACCTGAGCAGCGGCCCAGATTCATACAGCCTGGCCTCCCGACGCTGACTTGGCCCGAGGAGAGAGGCTCTGCCTCCATCATCTATGCCACCCGTATCTACGCACCCATCGCCCTCGTCGCTTCCGCTCTCCTCGATACTCGCTCCTACAGTTCATGGAACCGGTACTGCCCCACCATCCAGGTCAACTCTCAACCTCGATCTACCGCGCCGATACCTCCCATCGTCGCCCGGGACCCTTCCGTGGCCGCCATCGCCAACCTACCGAGCACTTTGCGTGATGGTGCTGCCTTCACCCCGCATGTGCTGCTGGACGTCGCCTCTGTCCCCGAGAATGCCTCGGCTGTGATGCAGAACTCTAAATACCCCACCTACAACACCAAGGCCTGTCCAGAACTCCAAGTCAGCGCCCTGGACCAGTACATACGCCCAGACGGCCGCATCTGCATGAGGATGGCCTGGCGAGCGCGAGGTAAAATGGCCAACTTTCTCCTCCGCAACGAGCGCGTCCACGAGCTCGTCACCTCACCCGACGACCCCAACATGACAGACTATGTGTGCTGGGAGACGTTTTTCGGGGGCCTGAACGGTGCCATGCAGAGTGTGTACGGCAAGCAGATGGAACGGGGTTACGGCATGTTCATGGATGGGCTCAAGAGGAATTCCGAGGAGCGGGCGCGAGGCCGGGCCATGGCCGAGGAGGTGATTGAGCAGAAGCGCTCCCATGCCGATGATGGCCTGGTCCCTGCCCCAGTCGTATCAATTTAATGAGTTTTTTCTTTCTTTTTTTTTCGGTGTTTTTGGAGGGAGGGGAGGGAAACGTGGCCACGTGGAAGGTCATTTGGCAGCGCATAGATACAGATACCCAGGTTTACTTTCCTTAAGGATAATTTTCATTTCTCAAAAAAAAATCTTTAACTTTATATGCCAGTTCCTCCTCTATCCTTTTTTTCTTCTTAGAGTGTAGACTCATCAGGGCTTCTGCCTCCCAACATTGAACACCAGTCCAGTCCTCTCAAGGGGCAATGCCGCCAATCTCCTGGGGCTTGAAGTACACGGTGAGGATCCCGTCGCACTGGACAGACCTGACCACGGCCTTGACGCCATCGTGGGCGGTGCAGGCGTCGTCGTAGTACCTCAGGTCCTCCAGGCTGGCGAACTCGGTCTTTGAGACGAGGGTGTATCCCTGGCTGCGCTGGTCCTCCTCGGCGGGGCCGACGACCATGGACAGGATGTACGGCTTGCCATCCTGCACAACGCGGAAGGAATTCGTTAGCCTTGGAACTTTTTTTTCACCCTTCATTCTCTCCATCTCGTGCAAAGACAGAATTTGGGGGCGGGAAGAGAGGGAAGAGGATCGTAGGATGGTGGTGGGGGGCGTGACTCGCTCAACGAACCTTTTGATTATTCTTTGCCAGCGCGTTGTACGCCTCCAGCATCCGCTTACGATCCTCCTCCTTGGGCATCTTGAACATGGTCACGCGGTGCACACGGTCGGCCATTGCTGCGGCTGCTGTCTTGCTGTAAGACCTGGCTTGTCGTTGGAATGTAGAGGTGAGTCTTTGTCGGAGGAACAGAGGGTTCATGAAGGTACAGCCGGGAAATGATGGGGCCTATCCTGAGCTTTATGAGATAAAAAAAGGAATCGTGCTAAATTTGAAGTGCGGAAATTGGGGAGTAAAAGTCGAGGGCGGAATTAAAAGGCTCTTGTCGGCTCAGATGGCGATGTCGGCCACCAGCGCTTTAACCCCTCCCCCGCAGTTTGGGGCGATGTGGGGAGGCTATATAAGACAGACTGGAGGGAAAGCGTGGGGGTCATCAATCATCACAGGAGGTAGTTGCACAGGTAATCATTGTATTTCTTGCTCATATTGCAGGCAATGGCTGGTGTTGTTCTGGTATCGTCTATACAAGATGCAAATAATAACAAAAAAGTGTTCAAATGTCGGCGGAGACAATGATGACGTAGTTTTTGCACGAATCAAAATCCGGCAGTAGAGTCGTATCATCATCTAACTCAGCTTCTCTAATAAGACAACCAACCACCAGTTGATGCCGAAAATGATACTTCCATGTAAATGTCGAGCTGAGAAACACCGCCTCGTAGTGGTGGATGCCGAACCGGAAAAATCTAAAGACAAGTGAATACAAAACGGAATAACAACACAAAATAATCATAGTAGAACCACTGATGCTGGCATGATATGACGACCATGATGATAAATCACGTAGCAATGCTCCTCCTCGCTCTCTGTTTCGCCGCAATGCAGGAACACCCAGGGGGAAGGCGCCAAACTCTTTATGCATAAAATCACCCAAGACTCCGCTCCCGATGCTGAGAGTAACACCGGCTGACACCCATATCCTCACAAGAAACAAATAAAGAAAGATCCCCGTCTTCTCCTCTCAGGCTGCCGGGGAATTAGGACTCAGTCCCACAATCCTTCGGACAACGACCTGCATCTTTTCCACCAGCTCCGGGATACGATACGGCTTGACAAGCACATCGTCGCACCCGGCCTGCTTGGCCTCCATTATTTGTTCCGGCCGTGCATTTGCTGTGACCGCGATAATAGGAATACGCCCCCCAGATGCACAGAACACCGACCCGTCCTGTTCAAGCTCCCGTATCTGCCTGGTACAGCTGAGTCCATCAAGAATAGGCATCTCGATGTCCATCAATACGAGGTTGATGGGGATAGGCTGTGCATTGTTGCTACCTGAGAAGGAGCTCCTGTTATTTGACCGGCTGCCTCCACTGAGCGCCTTGACTGTCGTCTCACCCTGACCAGGTGCCTTGGCCTTTGCCCCGACCGATTTGCGCAGTTTCTCTAGCGCCTCTACACCATGGTTGGCAACATCCACCAAGTAGCCCCTGTCTTGCAGACCACGCCGAGTGATTTGCTGGTTGATGAGGTTGTCCTCCACAACAAGAATACCATCCAGGCGAACGGCAATTCCCAGCTGAACCTTTTTATGTAGTCGGTTTTCCTTGAGCGTTGCTCCCTGCTTTCCACCAGGCTCTAATGTCACTCCAGATCGTTCGGCCTCTAGTCTGTTGACGACTTTGGCCGCCGCCGCAGTAGCTTCAGCTTCTGCCAGCGCCTCCGGAGTCGGAACATAGGCCTCGATGTAAAAGGCAAATGTAGATCCAACTCCTACCTCACTAGACACACCAATTGCCCCGTTCTGTAACTCTGTGAGTCTCCTTGATATGAAAAGCCCGAGGCCAGACCCCCCGTACTTAACGTGAGTTTTTGCACTGGCTTGGACAAACTTGTTGAAAAGGGTACCCATTTCTGCCTCGGTTAGACCTTGGCCTGTGTCTTTGACCTCGAATAGGAGATATACAGGGTGGCTCCGGCCTTTCAGAGCGGGCTGCTCGTAATCATCCGCTTCAGTTTGGAAGCGGGGGATGAAATCGGCAATTGTCATATCCCGGCCGGGCCGCGATAGGGATCCTTGTACAGAAATTGTCACATTGCGCACCTTGCCAGACTTGGTGAATTTGAGTGCGTTGGTAAGAAGGTTGATAAGAATTTGCTTGAGGCGAGAAGGGTCCAAATCCAAGTACTTGTGACCCAGGTCGGTGTATGATGGGTCCACCACAGACGTCAAAGCAATGTCTACCCTTCGAGCTTCGACATCAAACATCTTGAGTGCATCAGCCACAATATGGATAGGATCCACCGTGCAAGGTGTGACAGCGAGAAGCTTTGAGTCCAGCTTAGACATAGTCAAGATATCATCGACGATGCGTTTTTGGTGTTGCGCACAGGTTTCAATGGTCTCTGCATTCTCGATGCTATCCCTGATGAGTCTCTTCATTTGGCTGACTCTTTCTAGTTCTTCGCTCTGGGACTGCGATAGACCTGTGGTGGCCCGTGAAGGCGTCATCGGCTCTGTCACTTCGTCTAGCTCTTCTACCCTAGCAAGAGACGCAACAATGGCATCGGCGCAATGGACAATGGCACTCAAAGGGTTCCGCATCTCATGGGACGTCATGTCGATGAAGTTCTCTTGCTGGCGCTTTGACTCAATGGCTTCATCCTTGCGCTTCCTTTCTTGATCCAGCTGCCATTTCTGCAAAGACACGTCGCTGATGCAACCAGTGAAGGATTGGATAACGCCATCGGAGCTCTTTACAGGTATGAAGGTCGTAAGCACGGAACGAGCAGATGTGATTCCTTGGCCAATGGTATTCTCGGCCCTCCAGGTGGTCTTCAGCCTGATTTCGGCGGACTGGGAACGGCCAGATGCTCGCAGCTCATTTAACTTCTGCTGCACAATTGGTAGGTCTTCTTCCACAACGCATGTTTGCCATGGGTCAAGATCTACCTTGACCAAATCGGCTTTGGGCAATCCACATAGCTCCCAGAAGGAATTATTGGCACTGAGCAACCGCCCATCCAAGCTGATGTCATACATTCCAACAGTAGCAAACTCAGCAAGGCGCTTTAGATTCTGTGCTTCTTGTGCACGCGTCACCGCCTCTTCTGCAGTGTCCTTCTGTTCCGTTACATCGGTTAAGCAAGTTAGCATCCTGATAACTCTACCATCGTCAGCACGCTCTGCTTTTGTGGATGCCAGTACATGACGTCCGACCCTGTCATCAATACCTGCAACAGAGCCATTTCGAGGCCTAGACCCATTGAGCTGAGGTTCGGTCCGGGGAATGCGGAATTCGAACGTCACAGTTTCAACCTTTTCCAGCTCCTCGTATGCCCGCACAATTTTGGACCTGTCTTCAGGAATAACGCACTTTTGCAGTGCCCCTGGAGCAATAGGTCCTCTCGGGTATCCAGTAATTCGATACCAAGCGTCGTTGGCAAATGTGACGTTGCCGTGGTTGTCTGTAATCGACATTCCCACTGGGATAAATTCAGCGACAGCCTCAAAGTTCTGCAACGATTTATTGGTCTGCTCCGTCTGCCATGCGAGTTTCCGTTGCAGCATGGCGGTGTCATGGGTTGCTTGTGCCACTGCGTTCCTACCGCGTCGTGCTTCTTCCTCTAGCAGAACAGTTGATGCAAGGGAGCTTGTCAACTTCTGGTGGAGAAGAGAAATGAACTGCCGGTAATCATTATCGTAAGGTCGCCGAGGATTAAGACCCAAAAATAGAATGCCCATAATGCTTTCGTCATTAGTTGGTCGAATAGGGCAGATGACAGCATTCTGACAAGCATCACCAAACCCTCGCCACTCCAATCCATCCAGAAGCCTCTCTGGCAAGGTCCCATCTTTCTTCTGGAGGAGTAAGGCAACTTGGGCTTGAAGCGCCTCACGGAAGCTCGGCGCCAGTCCATCATCCGTGTCCCGAAGATCGAGAATGGGCGGCGCGATAGGATGCCCAGCCGGCACCCCGAGGGAACCTGCCAATTTACAGGTTCGGGGACAGTCGTAACGAGACCTCGACGAATCAAGGTCATCATCATCCACGACTGAATAGATGAATGCCAGCGGAACGTCGTATGCTGGACTCCATCGCTCGAGCTCCTCCAAGGCCTTGGCCCAATAAGACTGCACATCTCTTGCGGTAACCAGAGCATTACCCAAGTCGATCAACATTTTCATTCTCCTCTCCCAGAGCCGCATTGAAGTTGTCTCGAGCAAAGAATGCTGGATTCCCAGGCATCTGCCTTCGACGATAGGGTTGAGGGCCCATTTAACATATGTCTCCTCTTTCAGGTCGTCAGATTTCGGAACAAAGAATCTGGTTTCATCTTCCAGCCTACAGCGTTTGTTAGGGGGTGCGTTCCATACAGGATCCAACTTGTCTTTGATTTCGGGCCAAATCTCCAAGACTGATCGGCCAAGAGCATGCGGATGATCTGTGCCAACGAATTTGGAGTAAGCCTCGTTGTATAACATTAGATATTCTGGTCCCCACAAAATCGAGCTTGGTCTGGAGTCAGAGATGGTTTGATTAAATGCTTCTTGCAAGCGCACAGGCCAAGAGTTCATAGGACCAAGGGAATGCCGAGCCCAGTCGACACTCTGGATCACATCGAGGAAGGGCTCAAGGTCTGATGAGAAATTCGGCAACATAAGCACAGGCTGTGGCTTATCTCGGAACAAAGGTATCGCGGCAGCACTCTCAAGTTCTTGCTTATCCATGGGCGCAAAGTCGACGGCCTGCGTGCTCACCGGCTCGGAGTGATGTATCCTCGAAACCCCTTCCATGACCTTTAGTCGCTTCTTTCTTGGAGGCTCAGATGACGGAGGAGCCTCATTCCCACTCATGACAATCCATTGATTTTGTACAACATTTTTTGTCCAGTATACACCAAGATACGAAAGCGAATGATGCGCATCAAGTTTCAAGTCCCGGGTTTCGGGAACTGGGTTATTTACCCAATTCCAGAAAGGAGACTGAATATCATCTTCTGGGATCGCAAGAATGGCATGTAGGAGTGTTGAATTCGAGCCAAGCGCCGGGTTATGATATATGATTCCCTTTGGTTGGTTACCAGACCCCTTTGGCGCAGTCGAGCCAGGCTTCTGGTTTGCGACAATGAAGGTCGGTCGAGGATCAGAGTCGAGCAGGCCGACCAGACTGGCATCCTTGAGCGAAGATGCCATCATTATAAACGACAGCCGTAATCGACCGGAGGAAAGCACGGGGAGCCGATCGTAGACAGGGAAAACTCCATGGATCGTCGCCAGGTTCGTCGCTTAGGAGCTCCAGGATAGAGTAGAGCCGGTCGTAGGAAGGAATGTTTGCCGACAGCGATGGCGCAGGCCTATCGCGATGGTCTGAAGCGAGGCGCTCACTCGCACATGGTCATCAACAGCGATACCGTGGTATAGGCCGATCGTACTCAGTCGGAGCAGGCGAAAAGGGCGAGAAAGTCGCCGACGAAACACGCGAGATCAATCATGAACTTCAGCTCCACCCGATCGACGACTTGGTGGATGCAACTGACTGAGTAGCTGCGGAGCGGTACCGCCGTTCACCTGCTGTAAGCGTGCTGTTGGAGGTACCTGCGATATTAGGTGTGTACCGCTAGCATGGGTGTGGCGGACGTGGCGTCTGAATGGGCATAGGGCGGAACTGATTACAGGCTGTAACCGCCCAGCAAGCACACTAAAGCTCTGTTCGCGTAGGGCAGGGACCTCCTTTTTTATTAAACATAGTAATGAGTGAATGATAGATTACTACACGATATCTAGTTTGATGGTTTATTTATTACGAGATTAATTATTTTGATATTGTGTTGAGGTTCAATGCTGAAGCGTCTAGATGTGTCATGTCTTATACTTGACAGTCGCTTGTGTCTATAGCGCTGTAGCCCAACGAACCTGCCATAAGACAGCGCTTGGCGCGAGGTTCTGGAAAAGCAAGCTGACAGTAGACTTAAGGCACTTATACAAAGAGAACCATGGCAAACAAAGTGATGTCTATAATCTATCCTGACCATCTATCACCCTTTTGCTGTCCCTTACCGAGAGAACCATGATGAGCACCTCTATGGCGCGCCCACAGGTTGAATGAATGTCCCCTGACCAGCATTACCTTCGTCTCGTTCCACGTTGGAGAGGCACGCCACGATGATGCAATTAGAAGACCACAAGTCTGTCTCTCAACTCGAGACGGCCAGGCTCATGTAGGTGCCCCATGCAATCCCAGCAATTCCACCAACCAGGTTCCTTCCTTGCACGGTCTTAATGAGGGTGAAGTTGATCACCGAAACAAACGGCCAGAGTTTCCACGACGCCAGCATAATGGGCCAGAGCTCACCAACTGCACCGTCCCACACGTCCTTGAAATCTACCTTGGAGAAGTCCACAGTGCCTCGGGTCGTCCAGTAGTCAATCGCCTTGAACACGCTGTAAATGGGAGGGGCTCCTGGCATTGCGTCGCGAATTGCTCGGCTATACAGGGCAAACAACATGTTGTTGACAACGGAACCCAGAGACTGGTCCAAAGCCAGCTTGATCATAGTATTGCGAATTGATAGCTTGGGCGGAGGAGCAGGCTCATCCGACTTCTTAGGATGAGGCGCAGGTGGGTGAGCTGGAAATGTAGACTCAAGAAATGATTGCCTTGGCCCCGGTCAGCATTGAAGTTCCTTTCCAATTACCCAGTTGGTAAGGAATAAGGTCTCTTACCAATAGAAATTTGGAGGCGTGCTGAGAAGGGCAAATAAGATGAACTGGAAGAAGGGTATCCAGTCTATCTTGAACTCAACCTATACGCAATTCCATCATCAATCTTAAGAGCCCATGCTTCAACTGGAAAGGTTTGTGAGATTTTTGAGCCGTTTCTTACCTCATTCTTGTATGACTCTATGTATTGTGCCAATATGTTGGCCACACCGCTCAGCAGAACGGCTTGGAACGTGGCCTCCTTAACTGGTGAAGGGGCCATAATTGATTAATTCCGCTGCAATATCGTTTAAATTACCCAGAATATCTCGGTGGCAGACACGATTCTGAGGATTGTGCAAAGTGGTGGCCTAGAAGATAAGTGCGAAAGGTGAGGACACGTAGTGGCGGTGGTTAAGTAATGTGCCTACTAAGTACCTTTCCTTAAGGCTAGTAGTTGCATCCTTGTGGATGAACGGATATCGACCAGTGATAGACAATCAGAGTCCGCCCCAACATGCCAAGCATCACGTATTGCCAGTGCCTCTCTCCGTCACAGATACACAGCTGCAACAACAATCACTCGGAATCAAAACTGGTAGCATTCATTTATTTCTCCGTATTTACTTTTCTTTCCTCCGCTATTCTTCGAGATTCATCTACTCTTTTATTTCGCCTCGTACAATTATCGCTGATGGATGAAATGTGCAACCAAGCTCCCGTATATCACCCAACCTGAGCATGCCGTTTTTAACCTTGAGTCTAAGCAGTGCCAACCATGCTTACGCGCCCTAAATCATTCCCGCCCGGCCCTTATCGCGTCTCTCTTACATTTCCGCCTCGCCGTAAATCTGGTACATGTCCGCCGTTCAAGAGCGGGTCAGAACCCACATGAAGAAGAGCTGAACGAAGAAGGAATAAAAGAAGAGGAACTGCGTCCGCTGGTTCCTCTTTGCCCTTGAATCGGTCTGCATGGTTCCTCCAGAGCCATGTGAGTTTTCGGGGAGAAGAACGTATTTCAGGGATCGCATCTTTGGAAGAGTCGTGTTAGTCAAAAAGTCGAGAATTTGACACGTGGAATGTGCAGTGTGAGCAAAACTTACCAAGAAGAAGGAGTTTGCCATGAAGGTGTAGATGAAGACGGTCCAGCCAAGCCAACCGCCAGTGCCCTGTCCGGAATTGAAGATTTGCGCAACGGCGATTGTGACGATGATCCCGACAAACTTGTAGCCCGAGTAGGCAATCAGGTCGAATAGCTGCGATTGGCTAGAGATGCTGAGAATGTAGCATCCGAGCTTCAGGGCAATCAGTTCGGTAACCATCACAATCAAGCCAATCGTGCCTGTGTATCCCAAAAGTTCCGGTCGGTACTCGCCCCTCAAGCCTGCGATCAGAGTCGATAGAAGAACGTACGTGACGAGACCCATTACTATTTAAATTACAAGTGTCAGTTCCCCATCTCAAATTACCCAAGTGTAAGGCCAATCAACCTACCTGGAATATACATGTCCGGGCTGTTGACATCGTCACGGGGAGGCAGATACCACCCATCCTGCCCATTGGCTCCAACCACCTGCTTGCGCAGCCAGCTCTTGTGCCTCCAGGGAAACAGCACCAAGAACAGCTTGTTGAGGACATACGAGTTCGAAACGTTGAAGTAGTGTTTTAATGCCGAGACGTTGACATATCGTCCAAGCTATATTCATGGTTAGCGACGTCAGAAGGAATGAGGCTAGATTGCCTCCCAAGCCCGCGAGGGAACCTACATTCTGCTCGACATACTCCTGACCATGCTTGAAAGCGGTCTGGCCAAACTGCGCCGCCACCTGCGCCGTCGGATCGTTCATGAACTGGCCATAGGCGCCAAAGACATTCCCGCTGGCGCCGCCCTGCTGTTGGTATGGGTTCCCGCTGTATGCTTGTTGCTGAGACTGTGCGGATCCTGGAGGAGGTGGCGGTGATCGTAATTGAGGGACGGTGGAAACATGCTGTGGTACGGGATGGTGCAAAGGGGGCGATTGCGCAAAAGTGTTTCGCTGCATGATGATGCCGTCGTCAACTTGGTGAAGTACCAAGTTAAAAAATTATCTTCTTTAAAATTGACGAAATAAAGGAAAATCGTTGGCAAGGCCGGGTTGCGGTTGCGCTGGCAAATAGTAAGTTGACAGGTTAGGATCAGATCTAGAGATGTGGTCGTTCCCTCGTCATCCCGCCTAGCTTCAGCCAGGACAGTCGCTGGCCCAGGCTGCTTCCCTTCTCTTGGCGCGCCACATGTCCAGAACGACAGACAGAAGTGGGCCGCACTATCTGCCAGCGCAAGCGCCAGTGACCACGGGGCCGGAACTTGTGAATTACCGGGCGTCTTATCGATAAGATCTGATCGGCCATTCTGGGTTCATGCCGCCGATAAAGTGTGCGCAGGAGGCTTGGCGCAGGCGACACTCAGTGGCCACATCGTCCAGATTCATCGCTTTTTTCTTTTTCTCTTCCAAGCAGTCCTAATATATAAGTAATACAGCGGGGTCGGACATCATGTTGGATAGTTTCGAAATCATTACGACGTCGGGGGTGGTAGTGTGGTCGCGAACCTACGCACCAATTAAGCCCTCCATCGTCAACAACTTTATCGCCGATACCTTCATCGAGGAGAAGAGCGGCAGCTCCGCCATCCAGGATTCCCAGTCCGCCTCGGTGAACCCCCCCTACAAAAACGACCAGCACACGTTAAAATGGACAATTGTCAAGGAATTGGGTGTTATATTCGTTGTAAGTACATGTTTCCGCCGATGGCGGCGCTCCGTCTGTGCGCTGCTCAGGTGTCATTAACCCAAAGTCCTCCCTTAGGCTGTGTACCGGTCGCTCCTCCACCTGAGCTGGGTCGATAAGCTCGTCGACAACATCAGAACCATCTTCGTCAGCCTCTACGGCGACCAGCTAAAGAAGCCCCATACTACGATCGTGGAATTCGGCACCAACAAGTTCGACGAGTATTTCGACCAGCAGCTGCATGAACTCGACAAGGCCAGCGGCATCGACGCCACGGGAGTCCCCGAGATCCAGCTCAACTCGAGCCTGAATGACGAGCCGCTGAGCGCACCCAGCCTAACGTACCGCGGTCGCAACATCAGCCAAGGCGGCTTAGATGCGACGTCGAACGGATCGTCGCCCCCGGCCTCCCCCAGCGCATCGCGCCCTTCTACCCCCAGCAACAATCTACTCGTCGCAAAGGCGAGCCCCGCCGCTCGGCTCTCCAGACGGGCGAGGAAGAAGAACAATGCGAATGCGCCCCTGCTCTCGTCTGGAGATGAGGGCCCAGGTGGCCGATCAAAGAAGGCACCCAAGAAGGGCCGCAAGTGGGATCACGACGGTATGGCAGATGAGGAGGACGACGTGCAGCTGGACTACTCCGCCCAAACCAATCCGCTGAGCGACTCCGAGGCCGAGGCGACAGCCCGATCATCAGCTCTGGAGCACGTGGACTCGTCAACGTGGGGTTCCACGACCAAGGGCAAGTTCGTGCTCAAAGACCTGGGCGACGAAGTCCACGATATCCTGGCATCTGCCGAGGCCTCTCAGGCCGCCAGCTCCAAGAACGGGACCAAGGGCGGTCTCTTTGGCTCCGGTATCAACGCCGTCAGTGGGCTGTTCCGAAATGTCGTCGGTGGCAAGACCCTCACAAAGGAGGATCTCGACAAGGCTATGAAGGGTATGGAGGAACACCTGCTGAAGAAGAACGTTGCCCGAGAGGCCGCCGTGCGTCTATGCGAAGGTGTGGAAAAGGAGCTTCTGGGTGTCAAGACGGGAAGTTTCGAGAGTAAGTTCATGGATCTCATCCGCTGCTTTTGTTTTTCATAGCTTGCTAACCACACACCTCCTAACACAGGTATCAACGCGAGGATCCAGACAGCAATGGAGGCTTCGCTCACAAAGATGCTCACGCCAACCTCATCAATGGATCTCCTGCGGGAAATCGACGCCGTCACAGCTCCCCCAGTCACCTCCCTCCGCTCGCGCCGACCCTACGTCATCTCAATCGTGGGCGTAAACGGCGTCGGCAAGTCCACCAACCTGTCAAAGATCTGCTTCTTCCTGCTCCAGAACAAGTACAAGGTCCTCATCGCCGCAGGCGACACGTTCCGCTCCGGCGCCGTCGAGCAGCTCGCCGTCCACGTCCGCAACCTGAAGGAGCTCACCGCGCGCGAGGGCGGCGGCGAGGTCGACATTTACCAAAAGGGCTACGGCAAGGATGCCGCCGCCGTCGCCAAGGACGCCGTCGCTCACGCCGCCCAGACGGGCTATGATGTGGTCCTCATCGACACTGCAGGCCGCAGACACAATGACCAGCGTCTCATGTCCTCGCTTGAGAAATTCGCCAAATTTGCTCAGCCTGATAAGATTCTCATGGTCGGCGAGGTCAGTCTCTACCTTCTCCCATATACACCATCCGTTGTCTTCATATGCTAACTGCTTGTCAACAGGCCCTCGTCGGTACCGACTCCGTCGCTCAAGCTCGAAACTTCAATGCTGCATTTGGCTCCGTTCGGACCTTGGATGGCTTCATTATTTCCAAGTGTGACACAGTGGGCGACATGGTCGGCACCCTGGTCAGTCTTGTCCACGCGACCAACGTTCCTGTTCTCTTTGTCGGAGTTGGCCAGCATTACTCGGATTTGCGAAACTTCTCTGTGAAGTGGGCTGTCGAGAAGCTCCTCAGCAGTAGCTAGTCGCCAGACAACATCTTGGTGAACAAGGAACGGGAGACGCTGAGCAGACAGGCCAGTATAGTATATGGCCAAACGCGCTCGGTTTGCTACTATAATTTATGAAAATAAACATTCACGACGCACAAAGACTATGAACAATTGAAGAGTGTATTAGTATATATGTATGCGTATGTAAAACTGCCGTAACGAGATTTGGCACGCTCGCTGGGTTCCTAAAACGAGTGGCCGATAGATGCGTCCATCATCCTCCCCACAACCGCTAATGCTTGACAAAGGAAATTCAAGTTTCTCGCTTCACTGCGAAAAACAAAGGTGTTTGTAAATGAACGTAAGAACTTCAAAAAGAATTGTCAACCTGCGCTGAACACGTACTGCATTGCAGTTGTAACAATCTGATAAGCGCTTAAAACCAAAAAGAACAAAACAACAAACAATACTGCAGATTATAGAAACAGGCTACAGGAAAATTAGGTTTGTAAAGAGAATAGAAATCAAAGGGGTATCTTCTAGATATCGCAATCTGAATGTGCCAGTACAGTGGCACGAAGCCACGCATGGCGATATAAAAATGTACCAGCTAAACCATCCTTGATGGAAGAAACGAACAAATGAAATAAAATATACAGCCACTCAAGAGTGAACTAAAGAAATGCTGGAAGTTCCGTTTCAGTTGTCTTCAAAGAATTCATCATCATAATAATCTGCTGGTTGGGCGTCCGAATCGTAATGAGTTGAGCGCATCATGGTTGGTGTCATGGGCTGTTCCTCCTCCTCTTCGGCAGGATGTGGCATCACAACCTCTGAAGAGGACATATCCTCGGCCTGACGCGATGTGTCGGAAACGTTGCGCGCTCGGCTCGGGTTTCCATGAGACGGATACCTGCGGCCTGTACTCGAGAACGCTGTCGGTTGTGGTTTCGTCTCCAAGACAGGCATTTGACGAACGTTCGATGCTGGCGGGGTCATCAGTCCGTTTGGCTGACTGTTTCTCGAGACCTGCTGAGCCCTCGACGGTGTCCCATTCCTGCTGCCTGCGCTAAGGCCTGGTCGAGCAGTAAAGCCTGCGAAAGAGCTCGTGCTTCCCTTGCGCCAATTACCCCATGCAGCGGCAATTGGTCCAATAGTTTGGGCGACACGGGGAGATGCCGTTATACTCTGCGCAATGCTAGGTAAGCTTAGAGCTGAGGCACCGCTCATGGCTCTCTCCCGCTCCTGTTCCTCCATTTGGAGGTTGGCTTTTAGGCGAATGGCTGCATCCTTCACCCTTTCGTGATCAAAGTTGTTGCCAGAAAGGGCAGTAATAATATCCTGAAGGTCTCCATGTCTCACAGCCAGAAGCTCACGAAGCCAGCTAATCTCGTCATCGCGCTTGGAAATCTTGACTTCTGCTTCAGGATCAGATTTGGCAACAGTCTGCTCCAGTTCCTCAATACGTTGTTCTCGGGCCTGGAGTTGTTCCTGGAGAACCATAATCGACTCTCGGAGGGCTTGAGGCGAGATCTTCTCAGGTAAATCGCTCTTGTCGGGTTGGGACCTAGACTGTGTCTGAGCAGGGGCCTTTGACTCGGCGGCTGCAGCAGACTTGGCTGCCGCGACAGCAGCTGCGGCAGCTTCCTTGGAAACTTCCAACTTCTCTTCCAAGTGATTGATACGATCCTGTAGGTGGTCGATCTTGGTGGATGAAAAGCTGAGTCGCTCAAGAAGGTTCTCCTCTGTCTTGGAGCTCTCTTCATCTCTAGCATTGCGTTGCTGCTCATATCGAGCTTCAAGATCTTCCAGCTCGTTCTGGTGCTTCTGCTTAAGCTGCTCGATTTCCATGGCTTTAGTCGCCTCGGCGTCTTCGAGAAGCATCTCGTTGCGAGCTTTCACAGTGTCGGCATCCAATTTGAAGCTATCAAGCTCAGCACGCAGCTTGGAGTATTGTTCTTCAAGCTCTTCGCGAACGACGTTGACTTGATGGTTGGCCGCATCGATCTCAGTCTGCATCGCCATGCGCGTGCGCTTCACCTCACTCAACCCAGACTCACGGGCTTCTTCAAATTCGCGTTCCGCTTCAGAAGCACGTTGCTGCAGTCTGTGGTTCTCGGTACGGAGTTGGGCAAGAAGCTCCTCAAGACGCTTGCATTCGTTTGCTGCCCTCATTCCGGCGCGTTCGTTATCTTGAAGGCGATCCATCTCAAGCTCGAGTCGTTCACGAGTCTTGGCTTCGGCCTGCAGCCTGGCGTCAAGGACCTCCTGGCGAGCATGCATGACTTGGTCCTTCTTGATGTGGCGAGCATTTTCCTCGGCAATCTCACGAGCTGCTTTCCTCATATCATCCTGCAAAGAGTTGAACTTGGATCGCCAGCTGTCACGCAGCCGCTCATTCTCCTCCAATTGGGTGGAGAGGGTGTAGAGAGTCTTCTGGAGATGCTTGTGCTCCTCTTGGATGTGAGCAAGCTCGCCAGCACGGCGATGTGCGAGCTCATCATTACGCTCAGCCTCTGCTCGCCAATGATCATTGTCGAGACGAACATTTCGAAGGTCAGCCTCCAAGACATTGAGCTTGTTGGTCATCTCACTTTGAGACTGAGTCGCGTTGTTCTGAGCAGCTTCCAGCAGGGCCATCTTCATAGAGCTCTTGGCATTAGCTTGCTCCATTGACTTGATCCTCTGCTCCTTCTCGTCATTGACCTCGCGAAGGCGGTCCTCCTCCTCAGAAGCAATACGCAAAAGACGCTGGACTTCTGCCAAGCGATCCTCGGCAGCACGGCGGTTCTGAATTTGCTCCTCGGATTGGTTTTCTTGGTATCTTAATTTCTCTTCCAGGTCGGCAACTCTCTGATCATACACGCTTCTGTTAATGATCTCCACCTCGACGCGGGTCTCGGCAGCCTTCAATTGGCGGTTGAGGTCGGCAGAGACGTCCTCAGCAGCTCGGCGGGCTTCGATTTCCTTGTCCATCTCATAGCGTCCTGCTCGGAGTTCCTGCTCTAGCTGAGCAACCTTGGCCTCAAGCTCAGCGTTCCTATCGAGAGATGACTGATCTGGCTCCACTGTGACAGGCATTTGGCTCTTAACAGCATGTTCAACAATTGCCTGCAGGTGCTCGGCGTCGAAATCAGCCTTCTGGCGAATCTCGAGCTGTCTCTTGATATCAGCAACAGCTTCAAACAACTGCGACTCAGGTTCAGGCTGCTCAGGCACAGATGAAAGTGGCTGCATCCGTTGCTGAGTAGCAATGCCTTCCATAACGGCAGCTCGGATTTGGTCCAACCTTCGATCCCGGCGAGGGCTCAACGACCTTCGGACAGTGGGCTCTTCATCTTCATCATCAGCGTCGCTTTGCTGTTTCTCAGCAGACACACTGCGTAGGTCACGGCGAGAAGAGCTGGGTCGTCCTGCCTTCAAGGCAATAGCGTCTTGAATGGAAAAGAGGATGTTCTCCAAGGGCTCCAGTCTAGATGCGAGCAGGTTGCCAACAACCTCATTAACACGTCCATCGAAGAATTGGGCTCGGCTATCAAGTTTATCATGTTCGTCTGCAGAGAAGGCGGCTTCCCAGTCACTAACAGCAGGAGTATCGTCAATAACAATTTGTCCACCAGCTTGTTCCAGAGCATCAGGCTGCGGGTCGACAAATGGATCGTCCATTTCTGTAGTTGGGAGAAGAGGCACATCACCCAGAGTGGGCTGGAAGGTAGGTGTTCCAGAGGACTTGGTGTCGAGAACGAAGTGATCAGAGGGTGGCTCTAATTTCAAGGCAGAGGAGTTATTGACGTCGGCAAGCGGTGCTGGCTTGGCTGGGCTTGATTGGAATGAGGCTGTCTCAATCGACTTGTTAACACCCAACGAAGGATCATTTTCTAACTGCTCCATGACAGCATCGATGTCCTCGAAAGACAGCTGGCCATGCTCAGTGGCTGGGATGACTGCCTCCTCATGCTCGACCGATTCCAAGACCTCTTTCTTTTCAACAGTAGGTGTGGGCAGGGAGTTCTCAGGCTCCACTACGCTTGCAGCGCTGGCGTAACGGGAGGAAGCCAATCCCTTTGGCTTGGGTGGCGGTGATGCAAAGCGCGATGAGCCCAGACCCAATCCCTTAGATGAGGCCTTGCGTTTTTGTGGTGAGCTAGCACGTGGCTGCTCAGTATCGCGCTTAGCAACAATGATCTCAACATCGGGCTGCTCTGGTGTCTCCGGACGTGGGGTCTCTTCCTCTTGGCCAAACATTGCTCCTGGCATGAAGGACGGTGCGGTGGCAGATAGAGATTTTCGGTGTCCGCTTGGTTGAACCGGCTCCTCGTCTCCCAAGGGACGAGCTTCGCTGAAATTCTTAGCATCGAATCTACTGTCAAATTCGAAAGGCGACCATAAATTGCTCTCGACTTCAACTTGAGAAGACTCTGATGGAGCAGCTGTCGTAGCCTTTGTGTCGATGTTGTCTGACATGACAGCTGAAGACATCGAAGTGTCGGCTGGGAGATGATGCTCCTCCTCAATGCTGGTTCTAGGCTCTTTTGGTGGCTCCTGAGCCTCTTCGGTCACGGATGGTGTAAGATCCTTAGGTTGCTCAGCGAAGAGAGGCACGTCGTCACCGTCAGGCATAGCACTCTTGGCACGCTTAGCCCTAAAGTCATCAGGGCCGCGGTCACGGTTATCGCTCGTATCCTTATGCGAGTCCTCATGTGCTGAGCCCGGATCTCCAGCAGCTCTGTCGGATGCTCTACTACTCGTGGGTCGCAAAATGGGGATAGCCTTCGATTTCTGAACTGGCTTGGCAACCTCAGGTTCGATGTGAATGTTGCCGAAAATGCTCTCTCTAGCAGCATGCTTGTTGCCTAATCCTAGACCAACTGTAGGGGCAGGCGAGAATGGCATGAAAGATGGCGCATCAGGCCTGAACTTGGGTCCAGAAGTGGAAAAGTTGAAATCGCTCTGCTCAGGTGCGAAGCTAGCCTGCTCTTCGATATGAACTTCTTCCGCGTTGTCAAGGGGTGGCAAGGAATCCAGAGATACCG